ATGTACTGCACAAATATCTCTACCAACACCCTGCAGAGTACAGAGGACTCCTAGAACTTGAATGCCTGGAAAGCAAGGCCCTGGTTTTGCTTTGCTTTCAGATTCCTGAGGGAATTAAGGACAAACCCTCTCAAAACATACCAGAATGATGTTTGACTATTTAAGCTGAAATTGCTTGAGGAACTGTCTCTTCCAAAAGGTCCATCTGGCCTGTCTCTCCCTACAGGCAGTAAGCCATCAAGATTTTTGCGGGGGGGGGGGGGGGGGGGGGGTGTCTGGGGTTGTGGCTCAGTAGTAGAGTGATCTCCTAACATATGTAAGGCCCTGGATTGGATCCTTAGTGCCATATAAAAATAAAAGAAAGGTATTGTGTCCACGTACAACTAAAAAATTATATTAAAAAAAAATCTTTTGGGAGGGTTGTCTTTCATTACACCAAGGTCTGAAACTAGTCTTGATCATCAGAGACTAGACTTCAATGAGCCTGAATGAACAAACCCTTTGAAGCTCCTCCTCCTCTTTGTTTCTATGTCCTCTGACCCCATGTATTTCTTAGTAACATCCCTAGAGTTTACCATACTAGCCCATTTGTCCTGTCATTTCTTCACAAATTCATTGTTCTTTGTTGTCTAAAAAATATGAAAGCAGCATGCTTGTCATTTTCTCCTACTTCACTCTCTTGGGAGGATCCCCATGTATATGTAAATTTAATAAGACCTTCATACTTTTCTCTTGTCATTAAAATGGGTTCCTGGATCCAGTTAAAGAGCTCATATAAGAACTAAGGGGGGGGGTGGGGCAGGGTCAGAGTGGATCTCTCACTTCCTTCCATCCCAAACCCTCTGAGGATTTGATGGCTCCTTTCTTCCCCAGGGTGTCCTCAGAATAGGGAGCAGGGTTATTTCTCAAGAGTAGGGGTCTCACCTCTCTTCTCTTCTGACTATTCCCTTCCACAAATTCTCAAGAATATCTGATGGGAGTCGTTGGAGGCAGAAAGAACTGGTTTGATTAATCATATATTATCTTAAATCTTTAATTTATGTCTAGAACCATAATAGCTGAAAAGTCAGAAGCCAAGCATCTGGCTGCTCTTCTCTGCTTTAAGGTTCTTTTCCTTATGGTACCCTGTGCTAACAAAATGGGGAATGTGTGTATGGGTCGAAAGGCAGGAAGCTCTAGGCACATGAGGCACGTGGGGTAATACTTCAGAAAAATGACTCACTACTTGAATGAGCCTTTTTCTGAAGTTCTGGAAAGAGTGTGTAAAGGGGTGTTAGCACAGTGCATCCTGGGAACTACTTAGCAGCTCCCCAGCCTCCAGGAATTTCTCTCTGGTTGTCTCCTCAAACTCTGGTATTTCACAGTTAGTGAGCTTTTTCCTTTATTCATTCTCATTTCTGATCCCCAAAACTGCCCTTTCTGAGATACCTCCTGATTTTCCAAATGCAGCACATTTATTTAGCTTACTTTTTGCATCATCCATTTCTTCCAGACCAAGCTCCGGAGTAAGAGGTATGTGTTGGAGATCCYTTCACATCCAGAGATGCCTTGTAGGAACTTTCCTATAAAAGGAGCTATTACTCACCCAATCCCAACCTGTACAAATGCATGTGAATTAGGCCTCACTTCCAGTAACTTTTTTCCAGTTACCACAGCTCTATTTTTTTTTAATTTCTTCTTCTTTTTACCTAAGTCTAAGAAATTATTTTTATTTTTATTTTTTTGAATTTTCTGTATTTTTGTTTAATAGACATCATTTAGGATCAAGGGTTTGCTAGTAGTTTCACAAAGTATCACACCCAAGAAAACTGAGGTAACTAAATTTGCATGCAAAGCATCAGGCCTCCCTGCTTCTAAAAATGCATACTTCCTTAACAACTCCTCACCTCCAACTCGGAGAACTGAAACCCAAACTTACAGCAGGCACACTGCCCAGTTCCCTCAGAGACAGAGACCTGAATAAAAATGCTTGTTAAAGGGAGAAGGCCCTGGGTTGGATCACCAGCACAGGAGGAGAAAGGATGGAGATGCCGGAGATGCCATATTAAGTGCACTAAGTTTACCGTGAATATAAAACATGATTTTTATTTATTTATTTATTTGTTTATTTATTTATTTATTTTTAAGATAGGCGTGGAGGTTTGTGGGGTCCTCAGACTGTGAGCAGTACTAGTGTTTATGTTTGTGGTTTCTTTTATTTCCTTAGATTAAGTTTTGCAAAATATACTTAAAAGAATCAGTTTGTATTTTTGTTTGTATATGATCTTGTAAAAAATCTAGCAGTGGGCTGGGGCTGTAGCACCGTGGTAGAGCACTTGCCTAACATGTGTGAGGCACTAGGTTTGATACCACATAAAGATAAATAAAATAAAGGTCTATCAACAACTGAAAAATATATTTAAAAAAAAGTCAAGCAGTGTTAGAAGAGTTTGGGGAGGTGTGCTTTCACATTTAATGATCAGACTTCAACTCAATCTCCTGTGTTCTCTACTTCACACCCCCTCCACACATTTCATTTCTGCCTCTCCATTTTTTTCCAGAGAATATATAGCCCTTTTCTGGGGTGAAAGGTGGGGATAGTTGGGGACCCAGGAACTGGGGTAATTCCTTCATCTGTAGACTCAAACACTCCCATTTTTTAAAAAACCCACTGACTCTCCTCTGACTTCTGGTCTGCAGTTCTTGGCTTCTGTAGGATCTTTTTTTTTTTTTTTTTTAAATACCTTTATTAAATATTTATTTATTTTTGTGTGGTGCTGAGGATTGAACCCAGTGTGCCTCACATGTGCTAGGCAAGTACTTTTAACACTGAGCTACAACCCAGCCTTGTATAGAATCTTTTTTTTTTTTTTTTTGAGAGAGAGAGAGAGAGAGAGAGAGAGAGAATTTTTTTTTCAATATTTATTTTTTAGTTTCGGTGGACATAACATCTTTATTTTATTTTTTTATGTGATGCTGAGGATTGAACCCAGCACCCCGCGCATGCCAGGCGAGCGCGCTATCGCTTGAGCCACATCCCCAGCCCCCTCTATAGAATCTTTTACTTTGCCAAATCCCTTACAGATTCTCTGTTGACCTTCTTCATACTTTGGGATTCTGCATCACTATGTTTGGTGTGGCAGCCATCCGAATACACCTCTTAGATCTCCTACTGCAGGGAATGTGACTAACCTAGGGCTTGGTAGTCACGATTGGGCACAGTCCTTAATATGTGCTGCTCTACTGGGGACTTAGGCTTCCTTTGCCTCCTGAGCATGCCTCCTCTTCTGCTGCTCTTTGAGGCCCAGAAATTTATTTTTGGTGACAGCTTTGAGTCTGCACAATTCCAAGGCTGTGCCAAAAAGGAAGGTTGGCACTCTCTCCTATGCATGCAATGAATGCAAGTGGATCTCAAAGTAGAGTTGCTTGGAACCCACTGGGGTTGAATTTAGAAAAACAGATTTTATTTTTTTTTACTCCTAATGCATACTCCAAACATGTACAGAGACTTCAACTGAGATTATATTCACTCATACTGAATGAGTGAATGAGCTGCGAATGGACTTTGAGCAGTTCCCTGTACTGGATTAAAGGGAGTTATAGCTCTAACTTGGAGGAGAGGGAAGGGAAGTTATGACTGGCTCTGAACCCTGTCCCTTCTTCAGCCAGCACCCAGCTTTCCAGGGAGAACCATATTCATGGCTTCCAGGGCCCAGGCAGCCTGATAATCCTCTAGTTAACCCAGTATGTGAGCCTTCTCTGACCAGATATCCTGAGAAGTGGGCCTTGACACAAAGCCCTGAGGCACTATTGATCCCTAGGAAACTTTGGTCATCTGACCATAGTGTCCATGCAGGAGTTTCCCTAACTGCCTTTGGGTGTGCAAATTCCAGGCTCCCAAGCTACCAAGCTGAAACTGTGGTTACTGGGTGCAGTTCATCTTTTTATAATTTTAATTTTTCACTTTACTTTTTAACTATCTTATTGAAGTATATCTTACCTACTATAAAGTTTACAACTGTAAACACATGTGTAAGCAGTACCCAGATATTTCAGCATCACAGCAGTTTTCTTTATACTTGTCCTTAATGACCTTCTCCAGGGCAACCTGACCTGGAGGTCGGTACATAGATTATTTTGGCCTATATTTGGAACTTCATACATAAGGAATTATACAATCAGTGTTTCATTTTTTTTTTAAAGTAATAGGAAATGGGATAGAGGTTTTCCATTCTCCTTTAGTAAGTAGCAATATGAGTTAGTGCAAAGTTTGAATCCTTAATTAACTAGTTAATTTAACCATGTTGACCCTTGGTTTCCTCATCTATAAGATGGAGAGAATAATCATTCCTATTTTGGAAAAAGCTCATTAGGATGAGCAATATATATACAGCACCTCATACAGTGTGTGGCACATGGTGGGTACTGGCAAAATCTTTGTTGAATAAATATATTGATCCTTGGTTGTAGTAAACCTTTACCAAACATGTTATAATAGCTTATTCTGCTTATAGAATGGATTTTTTTTTTTTTTTTTTTTTTTTTTTTGCCTACTGTGAAGTACCTTACACCTTCATGACTAGAATTTAGGCCTAAGGGCTGTGTGTCTAATAAGTTCTGCTAAGATTTCTTACACTTTGTGGAATTAAATGCTGGGGCTGTGGCTTCCTTCCTTTGGATTTTAGCAGCCATAGTTAGATACTGAGGGTGAATGGAATATGAAGAGGCAAATTTCTGGGAAAATGGGCCAGCATGCTTTCTTTTTTAGTACGGTCTTTTCGTTTCAATAGAATAAACATTTATTGAACCAGTGCAAAGTTCAATGCTTGTCATTTCATGTTTCATTCGCACCCTCATTCCTTCTCAGGTTAGGTTCAATCTTTAAGGCACTTCACTTCAGCGGCAACCCCCCAGAACGAGGAGAGGCCCCTTTAAGGCCCTGGAAAGGGTCTAGGTGTCGGTTTCGGCGGGGAGGCCACGCCCCATCACGTGTGCAAGTTCCAACGGGGCGGGGCCTGCCTCTCTAGTCTGCCGTCACTTCCGGTTCTCTGTCAGTCGCGAGCCAGCGAGCAGAAGGCTGTCGACTGCAGAAGCGGAGCGTGAGTATGCGGGCCCCGCCTCCACCCAGTCGCCGGTACCCCCGTGGCTTTCTGGGCGATGGCCGCAGGAAATGTCGGTTATGCTTGACCTGCCTGTTCCTTCCTTGGCGTTCCCGAATCCCCTCTTCTGTGCCCGACAGGGCGCCTCGCGCACTTGGGCCTTCTGTGCCAGACGCCCGTCTTGGGGTACCGAGGCCAGGCTGCGGACAGGGCTCTCCCGGGCGGCGGGATGCGGTTGGGCGGGGGCGAGGAGCCGCGGGTAGGGGACYGGGCGACCCCGGGACAATGGGGCGACGGCCGGGGCGCGTGTGAGGCCTGCCCCCGCCAAGGCCTCCCTCGGCCCTCACCCTGGCCGCTAAGGGAGCGGGGCGCTGTGGGGAAGGGTGAGAGCGGACGCGGTGGGGAGGGGGCTGTGGGGGAAGATGGCTGGCTTGCGGGGCGGCGGAACGCAGCGAGAGGAGAAAATGGCGCTTGGTGCAAGTCCCTCCCCTTCCCACACCGTCTCCTCGGCACTTCGCCGCCTCCCACGCCCCCTCCGACCGACCTGCCTCCCCTCGCCCCAGCCGTTTCCAGCCCCTTGGTTCTAGTAGCTTCCTGGCAGCGCGCGACCCCCTTCTCTGTCTCTGTTCTTGGCACCTTTGTACGCAATCCTGTGCCCGTCAGTCCTAGTTTGTCTTAACCACGTTTTCTCTAATCCTCCTCCACGCGGTTAGCAAAGGCTGAAGATTTTTTTTGTTTGCGTCTTGTACATAATTCTACAATAGTTTCTTCACTTACCATTTGCCAGAATTATGCGCTCGCCCCATCCTTTGGAACAGTAAAACCTCATTAAGCTTAAGTAACGATATATTTTGTCAAAAGTTTAGAGGCTGGCTTTAGCCACCCTCCCTTGCTTTCTTCTTGAATGGACTTAATTTGAGTTAAATAAGAGGTGGTTCTTTGAAATGGTGTTAGGTCCCAGGCAGCTTTGGCTAATAGACGATAGTTATGGTTGATTGATTGCAAGTGAAAAATAGATTATATTCAATTGCATCTTAGAAAGGTTTTTTTTTTTTTGGGGGGGGGAGGGGGCAGCTGTATTAGCGAGCATAGAAAACTGAGTTAAATTGATTTTGGAGATTAGGTTGTAAAATGGAGCAACAACAGGAAAACCATATGAAACTTGGTTATGAATGATGCTGTTTCCCTCTGAATTTGCTTTTCTCATTTTTAAGAAATTACTTATTAAAATCTGCATGGTCGGGTTGGGCACGATTTGAGCTTTTTTGAATTTCGTCAGGATTGAGATGGCCCATTTTTTTTTCAACCTTGACCTCCTATTGTGAAACAGTCAATGCCAGTGCCAATGCAATTTTAATATACAGAGCTAGATTATGAATTTTTTTGAGGAAAAATTCAAGTCTTTCCCCCCCTATATTCAATATTTACAGAGTGTGTTGTGTTTATTAGGCCCTTTAGGGCATACAAAAATTTAATAAGGACCTAGACTCTTCAGACCTGGAGGGAGCTAAAGGCAATTTGATAATTAGCATTTTAACACCTGGTTATAAAAGTTCCTTAAAAGAGGTACCCACATGCCTTGGAATTCCAGGAGATTTGAGATTTAGGCAAAAGCCTCTGCTCTCTGCTTTATGCTTAGACACTAAGTAAACATCCATTTATAAGCAAAGCACTAGATTATCTGTAGGGGGTTTTGCCTTTCACAGATACATATTGTTCAAATTTATTTCCAAGTAGAAAAATGAGGGTAAAGTCGAATTATGGATAACTTTGTGAACTCTGAATTAGTACCTGTTATTCTGATAGTGTTGCCAAAAATTTAAAATTAACATACAGAATAGGTAAAAGATATGATTCTAATGGCAAAATTAATTAGATATCACATTTGTATAGTACAGCTGATTCCTGTGTTGTGTTATGTTGAGGTCCATTTTCAGTGATCTCTAGTCTGATATCTAGTGAGAAGTATACAGTAGTACTAAATAGAATTATCTACATTTCTTCTGGTTTTAACAGTAATTGTAAGCTGCTTTCTTGACTCTACCCTTCCATAAACTTATGATCCTTCTATAATGAAGCATTGAAAAGACCCATTGACTTTGAACAAGATAAAAGGTGAATTTAGTTCTTTCTCATAACTAGGCTCAGAACGTTTCACTCTGCTTGTCAAGAATGTAGGTTAACCCTTGTTAATGAACCTTTGTGTTCAATATAGCAACTTTAGTGCCATAAGATGATAGAATGAACCAAGAAACTTGTTCTTTTTTGAAGGTGGTAGAGCTATTTGTAACTTATTTACATAATGCATTTTTTTTTCAGAATGCCTAAATCAAAGGAACTTGTTTCTTCAAGCTCATCGGGAAGTGATTCTGACAGTGAAGTTGAGAAAAAGGTGACTGTTACTGCATCAGGTCATTTTTGTAATGCTTGATTTAGCAATATTGCCCACATCTATTTCCAAGAGATAGTAAAAGGCATAACCCAGTACTAACATGAAAATCTGAGTTTCTGAAAATGCAGAATGACCTTTGGATCATTTGACTAAAAGTACTTAGTATGCTTTTTTGTACATCCATACCTGCTGACTTGAAGGTACAGATTTAGACCTACATTCTACTTAACAAAATCTTTATTGAGAACCTTTAGAAACCTTAGCATCGAAGAATAATTTCCATAGACTGACTCTAGGGGAATAGAATTCTAATTAGGCCAAAGATACTACTTGCTGTTATTCAGAAATGTGACTAATCTGTAGATATTATTTGTAGTAATTGCCGAATTAGCAGAATTTTTAAATGCCAGCATTCTCAGTCATCTGTGTTTATTTGCCCACAAGTATTACTGAATTTTGGGCTTGCTACGTTTTAAGTTTGAATATTATTTGCTCTGATTCCTTCCTTTTAGTTTAATTATCTTCCAGCAAAGCTGATGTGGTGAATCAACCCATTTTCACAGAATGGGCTTTTTCTGCATTAGATGACAACTGCTCTGTAAACTCTGCATTCCACTTAACTGAGCGTCTCAATGGAGCATAACGGAGCATCTCACTTGCTGCGGTCAAGACTTCCTTCCACACAGACCTATTCTTATAGAAGTTTACATATATGAATAAACATTCATATCCTAGAAATGGAATTAGTTGATGGCTTTCTTCCTAATTACTATATTTCCTTTGTGAAAATAAGTAATTAGCTTTTGTAGATCTGTGGTTTCCAAGATTTTATGCTTTATTTAGCAGCGGGCCCCTCATGCCCCGTTCCCCAAGCAGTACTAGCTAAGAGAAAAGGGAGAGCTTATGGGAGAATCTTAGAGAAGTTGGATCCTTGAAGTGTAAGTACAGAATATAACATCACCTCAATTTTAGAGTAAGGATTCAGAGAGATAATTGTGAATTAAGTGAATTTCTTATTTTAAAAATTTATATTAGTGTAGCATTTGAGTATGTTCATATAACAAATTTGTATTGAACTTTGCTCTACCAGGCATACATTATTCAACAGAGAATACTTAGATCTTGATTTAAAGAATAATTTATTTTATTTTTGCCATTTGTCTCAAATTCAAATACTAGTATTAACCTTGTGAACATTTATGGTAAATACATCATGTTTTTTTTTTATTTCATAAACACCTATATGTGAATAGTATTACCTAGTTTCAACTAATTTAGTACATTAATTTAGCAACTTAAAATATTAGTTTACACTTTACCACTAAGAAGGAACATGACTGCCCTCTACTGTTTGAGCTGGGAAACTAGTGGTTTATTAGTAATTAGCTTTTTTTKGGGGGGGATGGGTGGGAATGGGGTCTTACCCTGTTGCCCAGGTTGTTCCAAACTCTTGGGCTTAAGTGATCCTTTTGTCTCAGCCTCCCAAGAAGCTGGAACTACAGGCGTGCACCACTACATCCAGCTTGTTAACTTATCTTGAGAATAAGACTATGTAAAAAGCTTTTATAATAATTTAAGCAGATTTTGAATTCTAGTCTTAACACATTACTATCTTCAGGGGCTTTTTTTTTTTTTAAGTTGTAAAGAGGAAGTTCTTGATTCGTTCATGTTCAGTGCTTGGTACAAAATAATATATTTTTTTYCCAGGAATTGAACCCAGAGGCACTTAACACTCCCAAGCCCTTTTTATTGATTCTTTTTTGAGATGGGGTCTCACTAAGTTGCTTAGGGCTTTGCTTAATTGCTCAGGCTGGCTCTGAACTTGTGATCCTCCTCCTTCAGCCTCCTGAGCTGCTAGTATTACAGGCATGTGCCATTGCACCCAGCCAAATAATTCTTTAGCTTTGCCTAACTATATGTTCCTTAAACCAGTTTAAATCTCCTTTGGAATAGGCAGGGCATAAGTAAATGTTTCCCAGAAATGGAGTAAATTGGCAGCATTCTTAATAAGTATACCTCCATTGTTTAAAAAAAAAAAGTAATTGTTGAGCTTTGGTAGATCTTTGGTTTCCAGAAGTTTTATGCAAAAGCAGTGGGTTTCCATTTTTTTTCTCCTGTCATCTTCCAATGAATGCTTTTTGTATGATCCCACTCTACAAAATACCTGTCCTCTGGCTAAAACCCAATGCCTGAAGTATCTTCTGTGATTGTGAAAAGAGGGTTTGAAAACATTATTAGATAAACACGTAGGTTAAATTCATAGTTCTATTGTTGAGTGAAACTTTGTTTTATTTTCTTACACAACGAATGTGGTCTTCTGAATCTCTAAAAGTAACATAATTTTTTTAACTTGAGTTTTTTTTTTAAAATAAGAATATAGCAAATTTTATCATGTTCTTTTTCTTTTAAGTTAAAGAGGAAAAAGCAAGTTGCTCCAGAAAAACCTGTAAAGAAGCAAAAGACTGGTGAAACTTCGAGAGCTCTGTCATCTTCCAAACAGAGCAGCAGCAGCAGAGATGATAATATGTTTCAGGTAAAGTTGGTCATTTCCTTAGAGTCAGGATTATTGTCTCACTTGATTAGAAGAATGTTAAAACTATCTTGATCTATGTTGCAGAAAGTCCTTTTGTGTGTGATAATCCTCTTGAATAAGACTATTAAGATGAGAGAACAAGTGAGAAATGAAAGAAATTTATATGATGCTGGGTTATTGTTAAAGTTAGTTTTGCTGTATTTAAAACAATGCAAATTCAAATGGTATAGAAATCCCCCAAAAGAGACTGAGAACTTCACATTTAAGGAAGAAACTTGGAAGAGGTAGGTTAAGTACTGGACTGTGAAGTATGGATTAAGATATTATTTTAGGAGAAACAGCAATATGACATGTCTAACAGTAAAGGAGAGTGGCTTGAATAGGTAAAGTCAGGGAAGGTTATTAAGGATTTGATGAAATCACCTGCAGAGGACTAGCATAGCTTCTTTTCTTGGGTTTCTTATGTTTTTAGGGAGACTTGAAATTGGCCTTAGTGTATAATTTGTGAGGGAAGAGGCATTAGTGATAAATGGTTACTGGTAAGATTGCTGAGATAGTTGTGGACTTTAATCTGTATGTAGTAAGAGTAAGGTGGTTTTTCCCTAAGGGAGAAATAGTGATGATGACAAAGATACTGATGAGGAACAGGGGACTAGAGAACCATCATCTAGGAGTTGGACCTGATTGTAAATATAACAAAATAAGTAGAACCTCCTGGAAGTCTTGGGCGGGCCATCAGCATGGTTGACTAAAGCCATCCACTGAAAGAAAGAAAGCTTAAACCAGAGAAAAGAGAAGTTGATAAGATTATGTCTTTGTTGATATTCAAGTAGAAGATGGAAGAAGAAAGAGAATGTAGGTCAAGAGGAGATGGTGAAAGAAAATTAAGAGCAAAAAAAGGATAAGTGTTTCAAGGAGGCATAGGTATTAATTGAAGTCAAAAGTTGGGCAGAATATGACTGTACATATTTATTTGATTAGAAAATTAGATTGGTCTGCACTTTTGACCTGCTGATGGCTTTGAAAGATGTAGTGCTAGGATAAACATAGTGAAATAAAGAAGTTGAATTTTTTTTCATGTTTTTTCATTATTGCTTTGAAATACTTTGTAATAATGTGGAGAAAGAAAAGAGACAAAATACAGGTGAATTGTTTAGTTATAGATTTGAATCCTCTGGTGAATGTGTAACATAGAGGAACAAAGGGCAGAGTAGGTTATTTTTATAAGAGAATGTGAGTAAATATGAGGAAGAATTATGTGAGCCCTCATTGCTTTGAATAGAAAATAAATTGAATGGTTACTGTGTTTTCTGTTTTATTCAGGCCTTGCCAGGTTCTGGATTGCAGTGGTGAACAAAGTAGATGTGGTCTGTACCTTCCTAGAATTTATGGGAACAGAGATTATACAGATAAACACATGTGTAGTTAAAATTTTGATAAGGGCAGAGAACTAAAGGGGCAGATTCTATTATGAGAGAGTAGGTGTTCTGGGTATTCTAAGGAAGTGATATGTAATCCTTAAGAAATGGAGCAGGAGCGAACCTTGCAAATTGGAAGCAGGAAGCATTTACCAAGTGAGAGGAATTACGTGAATAACTTAAAGTGGGAAAGATCTTGGATTTTGCAGGAATTATAAAACCTTTGTGATTTGAGCCTGAAAGTCTGGCTAAAAGTATAGGTTGGAGATTGAATTCCTGAGAAGGCTGAATAATTCACTTCTGTGGAAAAGGAAGGACTGCTTTGGAATATTTTAATATTTTAGAATATTTGCTAGGCAAGTTTCTTGGGCTTTTCTCTCACATTATGCCTACTTTTGCTTGTATAATAATGAAGCATTTTTGACATTTGAGGGGGTTTTAGTCTTGCCCACGCCATCTATAATTTTATAAAGAAGCCAGGACCCACATTTTAGAGATTCTATTTTGTTAGAGTACTTTTGTGTAAAACAGATCTATTTTTAGGGGGTGGTTTTTCTCCTCCTAAAAAACAGTTCAGTTCTTTTGTGTGGTACTGGGGATTGAACCCAGGGAAGCTCTGTTAATTTCCCAGCCCTTAAAAATTTTTTTTTGAGCTGGGCATGGTGGCACAGGCCTGTAATCTCAGGAGCATGGGAGGCTGAGGCAGGAGGATATTGAGTTCAGAGCCAGCTGCAGCAGCTTAGGGAGGCATTAAGCAACTGTTTCTAAATTTAAAAAAATACAAGAAAGGGCTGGGGATGTAGCTCAGTGGTTAAGTGCCCCTGAGTTCAATCCCTTGTTTTAGATAGGATCTTGTTRGTTGCCCAAATTGGCTTCAATCTTGTAATCTTCCTACCCCAGCTTCCTGACATGATAAAGAACTTCAGTTCTCAAATCCTCATTTTAAAGGTTCCTAGGCATCCTAAGTCCATTAAATACTGCACCTTTTGAAAATTCTCCTGTAGGAGAACCCAAAGGCCTTACTTACATTCAAAGGTCTTCTACAGATCTAGTGTAGACAGTCTAAGAGATATGTGATATTTAATTTCATTGCCATGATACCTTTTTTTATTGAAATGGATTTTTGGCCATAGAAAACTTTTTAATGCTTATACTGCATTTTAATCATTTTAAGAACACATTTGAGTATATTGATTTTATAATATTAAATGAGGCCTTTATTTTTGCTAGTAAAAATTGTTTGATTGTTAGGAAGGATGGATGAAGGATGAGGATTTTGGAAGGAAAAACAGTAACCCCACTGTATTTTATACGTTTTTGTATTTACCAAAGTGCTTTAAAGACAGCCACAGAGTAGAGCTTTTTTGGATTTTGCAAGGTGTTCAAATTAGAATCTTTGAGAGTATATTAGAATCTTTGAGACATACTTTGCCAAAACAGATCTGAAATCCAAATTAAAATAGCTGGGGTATTGGTTTAGTTAGTTTTTAAGACAGGATTTTTTTTTTTTTTTAAAGCTAAATATCTATCTCTTGAGACTAGAACTATGGAAGTCATAAATTCTGGAAAGGTGATGTTTATCAAATGTAAGCAACGCTAATATTTGAAGAGAGTTGGACATCCCCAAATGGTTACACTATCATTTTAAACTCTGGAATGATTTGGTCAGGATTCTGACTAATAAGGAAATATTCCTAGATGCTTGCCTTCAGATTTCTTCAGTTCTGGATTTTGAGGACTGGATTCTATAGGGAAATAACTGGCCTGAGATGACATCTGATTAAAAAAGGCTGATGAAAGAGCTATCTTGTAATCCCTCAGTACTGTCTTTTGAAAGGTCAGGATGTTTGAGGCAGGGAACTTTCATTTATATTTTCTTTAGAATTAGGCGCAAATGGTCAGTAATGCTGTCTTAATTGATTTGTGATTTAAGGGTAAAACTGGATACTTTAAAATCACCTTTTATTTATTTTTGAGGTACCAGGGATTGAATGTAGGGCCTCGTGCATGCTAAACAAGTGCTGTACTACTGAATTACATTGCCAGCCCTGAAATTATTTTTAAAGTAATCATTGAGTCAAATGTTTTTTTGACTTGGAGAAGGGCATGAATGGTGGCCTTAAGAGTCATGAGATTACGTGAAAGGATTATTCATAACCTCATAACCCATAGCGTTTATCAGGTTTTCAAAGAATTGGGGAATCAAAATTTTTTTTTTTTTTTTAAAGAATCACACTTCTGTTGATAAAAATGCTATTTTTTTTCTATCAGTCTCCAGATGACAAGCAGATGTAAAAATATGTATATTCTGTATTCTGATTCTGTTATTTCTTACTGTGAAATGTGATTGCAAGGACAGTTTTTCTACCTTTAATTAGTATATTCCTATTCTAATGTCTCCTCATCATTTTTTTTTCTTTTTTAGTGTTTTGTAAGAATTTGTGAATTTTATTCATTTTTCCTCATGGGGAGAGGTTGGTGTTAAAGGAGTTCATCTTTAAAAAAATATTATTGAGGTACAATTTATGTGCATATAAGTTATATAAAAAGCATAAATTGATGAGCTGTGATAAATTTATGCAGTCTTGTTTTCAGCACATTTTCATCACCCTCAAGGCTTCTGTCTTGGTCTTCCTGTTACAGTTGTATCTCTGCCTCGTGGAATAACTGGTCTTACTCCTATCAATGTAGATATATTTTCCCTGTTCTAGAACTTCAGATAAATGGAGTCATATGGTCTGTCTTTGGGTGTGTGTCTGGCTTCTTTTTGTATAATGTGTTGAGATTGATCCATATGTCTTTCAGTAGTTGGTTCCTTAATGCTAAGCAGTATTCTTCATGTTTATTCTCCAGTTTATCCATTTTCCTTGGACATTCTGGTGTGAAGTCTTGGCCTACTAGGAATAAATCTGACTATTCTCAAACAGACAAGTTTTTCTGCAGGACCATTTGGATGTACAAACCAGATATATTTGCTGGATCATGGGCAGGATATGTGTGTAACTTGATAAGAAAATAACTTATTGTTTTTCAAGCAGCTGTACCATTTAAACAGCCATAAGCACATGTGAGGTTTACGTTGCTCCATGTCCTCACTGGGTAGTGTTAGTCTTCAGTTTTATCCATTTTAGTTAACGAGTGTATGGTAGTAGTAGCAGCTCATTGTGGTTTCACTCTCATTTCCCAAATGTCTTAATTCATTTCAAATCTTTGATCACGTTTATTGGCTGCTTTTATATCTTTTATGAAGAATCTGTTCTGCTCTTTCCTTTTTCTTTTTAATAGCTAGGTCTTTTTACTTACCAAATTGTAACAGTATTTTGGAAATCTTTTGTTTAAGTACAGTGAATTTTTTTTTGTTTTTAAACTTAAGGGGAAATTCTTGTCTTTAAACAGCAATCTAGTTTAAAAATAAGTGTAATAGAGGAAAGAACATGAACCTGAGAGCATCATATGGATGAATGGATACCAGGACTCAGGGAGATGACCTGCCCAGATAGGTGGCCTCTGTGTCATTTATCCATCTTGGAGATGAGGTCTTCACAGATTTAGTAGGCTCATCGTTTTCTATAGTCTTCTGCTCCACAGCAGTAGTATGTCTTAGTGAATCTGCACTGTTCTTTCTCAGTCTTACTTGGAAACTTGAAGGGTCTATGGGTGAGACTTCAAATATATTTTTCAGGTATATGGTTTGCCTTTTATGAATTAAATTTAAAGAAAGGTGTTAAATTTAAGTCCATTTTATCAATTTTTCCCTTTGATTAATGCTTTTTTTTTTCCCTATCCAAGACTTATTTTGCATACTCCATGGCCACAAAAATTTCTAATAGAATTTTTTTCCTAGAAGTTTTATAGTTAAGTTTTCATGTTTTAAGTTAGTGATCCATGTAGACTTAACATCTCACAAAGAATTAATTTCTCTGTGTAAGGAAATGCATTCTAATCCCTTGACCTGTATGTATGTCTTTCTCCGGGTTTTTTTTTTTTTTTTTGTGTGTGTGTGTGTGTGTAGTTTTCTCAATTTGACTGAAACTAAAATGCCTTAGAGTTGTTATTTGAAATGAATGTCAAAAGGAAAAGCTTTCTTGTCTAGTGACTGGAACTCTGTATTCCTCTATTCAGAATTATTGTTAAAACAATATAGCTAGCTGAATATATGAATTCTTGTTGCATTCAGTTTGTACTGGAAGATTTTGCTTACTAATGATAAATAGGGATTATTTACATTTTTAGATTTAGACGGACAGTATGCCTTTTTTTTTTTTTTATTTTTTTTAATTTTTACATTGTGCTAAGGATCAAACCCAGGGCTTCACACATGCTAGGCAAGTGCTTTGCCACTGAGCTACAGCCTGAGCCCTTACTAAAGATTTTATTGTGGTAAAAAAATGTTTATTCATTTGTTGTGAAACAGATCTGCAGAACCTTTTTCTCCTGCAAAACATTAAATGGTAATTCCCTTCCCTAATAACCACATTTTACTTTTTTCCCGGTATTACTGTTGCTTTATGATTGGCTTGTTTCACTTGGCACAAACTCAAGATTAATGTGTATTGTTGGTTGTGACAGGATTTCTTTTTTATGACTGAGTAGTAATCGTTTTTGGGACTATTGTGAATAACAGTGCAGCTATAAACATGAATATACAAATTTATAACTTGGAGACCTGCTGTCATTTCTTTTGGATATGAAGTTCTGCTCCTTAAAGCATTTCATTTAGTGAGGAATCACATAATAGGTGGTCCCATAAGATTATATTGCCTACTGACATTGTAACCATCTTAGTTTGTCTATATACACTTATGTTCAAACAGTGACAAAAATCACCAAACTACATATTCTTTGGAAGATGCTCTGTATTTAAGATACTATATATCCCAAAGTGGGTTTGCTGGATCATATTGTAGTTCTAGTTTTAATTTCTTTTGGGGGGGATACCAGGGATTGAACTCAGGAATACTCACCCACTGAGCCACATCTCCAGCCCTGTTTTTATATTATTTAGAGATAGGATCTCACTGAGTTGCTTAGGGCCTCGCTGCCTCACTGTTGCTGAGGCTGGCTTTGAATTTGTAATCCTCTAGCCTCAGCCTCCCGAACCACTGAGGTTATAGGCATGTGCCACTGCACCCAACTCTGTTTTAATTTTTGAGTAGTCTCCATTACTCCTTTCATAGCAGCTGAAACTTTTACTGTTTATAATTTTAAAAATGTTTGGAAATGTGAGGTGTGCTTTTGTTTTATTCTGTCTTTTAAAAAATAATTTTAACAGGGATTTCTTTGTATTATGGTTTTGATATTGAGACTGTTAATCATTTTCATGATTATAGAGTTAGCTTGCAGCAAATGGTGAATATATGGACACCACTGACATCACTGTCAAAAGAAACACTTCGATGTTTTGGGGAATTTATTCATTTGCAGATTGGGAAAACGAGGTACATGTTTATTTGTTTATTTATTTGCAGATTGGAAAAATGAGGTATGTCAGTGTTCGGGATTTTAAAGGGAAAGTTCTAATTGATATTAGAGAATATTGGATGGATCCAGAAGGTGAAATGAAACCAGGAAGAAAAGGTGAGTTTTGATTTCTTTAATTTGGTTCTAATGTTGGGACTAGCTTAAAACATTTCTAAGTAACGTTGCTTGAGTTGAGATAATGTTGGCAGGGCACAGAGGCCAACAATGAACCTTTTCTAGTCCTTTTTTAGCAGGATACTTATCTTTTTAAAATAAATGTGTTGGGAATAAAATCAAGAAAAGTAACAACGCTAATACCACTTTAATAGGTGGCTAATTTATTAGAATATAATTTTCTTTTTTTTTTAAGAGAATTTTTTAAAATCAAGAAAAGTAACAACACTAATACCACTTTAATAGGTGGCTAATTTATTAGAATATAATTTTCTTTTTTTTTAAGATAATTTTTTTAATGTTTAATTTTTAGTTTTTTCAGTGGACACATCTTTATTTTATTTTTATGTGGTGCTGAGGATCGAACCCAGCGCCCCATGCATGCCAGGTGAGCGTGTTACTGCTTGAGCCACATCCCCAGCCCATAATTTTCTTTTTTAATTTTTAGTAAATCTGAAGCAGATTTGGCACTATTTGGGAAGTTGTAAAATTGGGAATGGAAAAATTCTGGTTTATATTTTAATTCAGCTCGTTAAGATCATTCTTTATAGTATCTTTCAAGTGGGTTGCTGTCCTTCTTTTTGTGCTTCATCCTGCCCCAATCCTGTTTGCATGTAGAAGCATACTTTATTCAGTTATCAAATAGCTAGAGAACATTTGTTAAACCAACCTAAATTTGTATTTTTGGGCATTTAGTTATTTGAGGTTGCTGTTTAGATGATAAAAAAATGCTTTCTTATTTAGTACTACTGTTTTTTTGTCAGTTTTCAAGGTATCACATGTTTGTTTCATGCAGTTTTCAGGCTTATGAAAAGGCAGCCTCTGTATACTTTCCTTTTTTGGGGTCTGTGCTGGGAATTGAACTCAGGGGCACTTTACTCTTCGAGTTACATCTAACGGCCTTTTCTTTTTGGAGACAGGGTCTTGCAGAGTTGCTTAGGCTGGTCTTTTTTTTTTTTTTTTTCCTTTTTTATTATTAGTTGTTCAAAACATTACAAGCTTAGGCTGATCTTGAACTTGTAATCCTCCTGGGTCCAGATATAGGCATGCACCATTTTTCATATCTTTTTATGTTTTCTTATTGAAGTTGTTGTTTCTGGATTGGATATTTGTGGTGTTCAGAGTGGTTAATGCCAGGTTGTGTGTTCCTGAAACATTTATGGAAACAATTTGATTAGCTTCAAGCCCTTCCTTAGTGCCCCAATGTATTCTTTCAGTTTCATGGCCTCAGCAGTTTTTTTGTGAAATAAATTAATTCAAGTATTTACTTAGGTGGTAATATGTCAAGTTCTTTTTTCATATTTCCAAGTTTAATAATTTACAACAACCCTTTGTGTTAATACTGTTTTACTGGTGAGAGGAAACTAATTTTTTTAGGGTCACACAGTAATAGGCTGGGATTTGAACTTGAACCCTGACAGCATGATTCCAGAATGCACACTCACCCTATCTATATATTCCAAGAGGTCCTGTGTGACTCGTATCCCAGGATTTTTCCAAAGTGAAATGAATGCTTTTGGAAGAACTCAAAAGTATCCATTCACCTTGAATTTCTGTGGAATTTGGTACAAGTGTTAAATTAAAACTCAGTTTGTATCAATGGATGTTTAATATGCCATATCTGAGCCTTGACCACTTAGCTTACTAGTATGATTTGTGAGATGCATCTTGAAATCATCATTTGTTCTCATTGGTTGTAATAGACATCATGCAGGATGCATTGTGGGAAGAGAAACTGGATACAAGCTTGATCTACTTAGGAAACTGATGAGTTTGTAGATAAAAATGTAAGATTTTCCAGGGGTCCATGCCTGTAATACTAGTGCTTGGGAGCCTTAGGCAGGAGGATCACAAATTCAAAACTAGTCTTGGCAACTTGGTGAGGCACTAAGCTATTCAGTTGAGACCCTTTCTCTAAATAAAAGACAAAAAGGGCTGGGGTCGGCTCAGTGTTGTGCTCCTGAGTTTAATCCCTGGTACAAAAAAAAAGTAAGATTGAACTTTCAGTATTATAGCATTGTGCCATTCAGAATGGTAGTTTTGGGGCCAATGATATAGCTCAGTGGTAAGAGCAGGTGGTTGGTACACTCAAAGACTCTGGGTTGATTCCCAGCACTACAAAAACAAAAACCAACCAAATAAAATCATAATAAATAATGGCAATTGTAAAAATAATATTTTATTTGGAAGTATGAAAACAAGCAAGCTTAAATAGATTTTCAACTTTGAATTTTTAAACTTTGTTTTAGGTATTTCTTTAAATCCTGAGCAATGGAGCCAGCTGAAGGAACAGATTTCTGACATTGATGATGCAGTAAGAAAACTGTAAAATCTGAGCCATATAAATCCTGTACTGTTCTGGTTGTTTTAATCTGTCTTTTTACATTGGCTTTTGTTTTCTAAACGTTGTTTTCCAAGCTATTGTATATTTGGATTGCAGAACAATTTGTAAGATGAATACTTTTTTTTAATGTGCATTATTAAAAATGTTCTGAGTGAGCTAATTGTCAACTTTATTAAGGAGGATTGCTTTGTGCCCACCACTTAGTGTAAAATAAAATCAAGTAATTACAATCTTAACTGTTGTGGCCTTTTTTGATCAAAAGATTAGATATTCTTTAAGGCCAAAATTAACAGTTTTATAGACCTATTAGTTCTAACTCAGTTTTTACATGAAAAAGATTTGTATTGCATTGAGTTTTTTAACGTTAGATTTGTGAAATCCATGATCTCTTCAAGCCAAATGTTAAAATTTGTCCCAGTCACTTTCTTTTTTTTAAATTCATTTTCACTTAATAATAATCATTTTTATTTCACTCTTTTTTCGTTGAATATATTATGCTAATTTGAAAAGTCAGTGAAACTGTCAAAATGTTGATTCAATAAGTTACTTAAAATAAGGGAACTACAATCACTAAATCTGTAGTAATTATTAGAGCAGATACAGTTTGGTAATGTGGCTTGTATGAAAACTTCAAGCAGGTGTATGTCATTACCTCATAGTGTTCTGTGTAGTTATCTTACTGCTTAGTGTACAGAAAATTAGATGTCTGATTAGCTTTCACTTAGTAAACATGTTCACCATRGGATGATGTCTGTAAAATCAGATATTGTTAAACTAGACTAGGATTTAATAAAAACTGTGAAAGCTTACTGGCCTAACATTTTATTTTATTATATTTGAGTATGAATTATGTGTAGCCAGAGAGGTCACTGAGCTTTACCGGTGCAGTTAGATAATGTGGTCAGTTTTTAGGGGAAAGATCACATGTTTAGGATTTTTGGCCTTTGGTTCAGTAGAGTTTGTTATTTTGCAGTTAGTCTACTGGACAATGACATTTTAGACACAATGTTACTAATTTTAGTAAATGCTTTTAAGTAGTTTTCATTTTAACTGTAGTGAAGCAGACAATTAAGGCGCATGTTTCAGGGGCTTTGCAGCAATAAATAGGGTATGGTGTGCCTTAATAAAAGAATATAAAGGAAACGTACTGAAATTAAGGAAGGTGGCATGTAAAGAGGAAAGAATTTTCTTCAAACTAAATGATATTTTTGAGATTTTAATCATATTAATAGGACAACACAATTCTAGATAGAATAGTAAAAAACAAAAGGCTTAGAGGTAAAAATAACTTTCGACAAGTTGTTTATGGTAGCAGATCTCAAATGGTTACTGCCATTTAGGGCTACCATATCAAGAGAATTGCACTATTCTTTTAGCAGGTTTGATTCTTATGTTTTAAAACATTTTGTAGTATAATTTCAGGGACTTAATTTTAAAACCATCTGCCAGGTCACATAGTTAGTCTTTTTTTTTTTTTTTAGGTGCAGATTGCTAAAATACATCTTTTTTTTTTCCTGATAGTTTAGTCTATCAAATAATAGGTACTCATGTGTTCACATACTGTATGTATTTAGACAAATCATTCTTGATTGGTATGCCCCCTTATTTGGGAACATGAATGTCCTATATTGGATACTTTTAAAAGTATTATTTTTGACACAGAGAAAGGGTTGTTAATTACACAGAACTTTGGTTTTGGTGTAGATGAAGAAGGAATCATGGATAAATTTCCTAGATTTACATGAATTCAGAGGGTGCAATCTACTTATACTGAGATGGCACAGTAGTCTATCACCTAGGCATTTACTGGTTGTTTGGCATAAAATTAGTAAAATCTTATAAGGAGTGTTGGCAGTATGGTAAGTTGACTGCTAAATTCATTTATGTTACTGGATGTGTAGTATACTGAAATTATTAATATTTTTCTCTGTAGGTAAGGATGAAAATTGAGTTAAAATAAAACAGACTAACTTGTAATGAAACGGAAGAATAGAGTACATTTATTTTCTGTTTAAACTTTATCTCCTCAGTAAGATTTCTCCCAAGAAGAAAGCTCAGCATTTTGAGGCATATTATCTTACTTTGTAATGCCCAAAATGAATTTAATTAATATCAGTATTCAGGATTTGTCCTTTAATATACTCAGTAGCAGGGCCTTCTACAGTTTTTTCTCTTTTAAATATGAACATTAGACCAATTTCCAGTTCTTTTGGATTTTAAAGAACAACGACTGAAAAAGAAAAACCCTTTGCATTTTGGTTGTTTTCTTTTTCTTTGCTTAAAAACTTCTCTTAAAGAATATTCCTACCTCATTAATTAGTCAAGATGCTGTGATGATGAATCTRTTCTACATAATGTATTTAGAAACAAAGACTTCGTGGGAAAAATGAAAGTACATCCTGGCTTAGCTACTGAGGAGAAATGAGAAAGAATTGAATATTGATTATTTAAGTGTTCTAGACAGAATTATGTTAGAATATTATAAAAGTTTGAAAATTAAAAAATGGCTGACCAATATTTAGGTATTCTCCTGAAATTCTTCATGGTTCACTTTTTATGGAAATTAATAATAGTGAAGCACTCAAGTTTTTTAAGAAAGTGGTTTTCCAGATATACTCTAGTATAAACATGCACATAGTCACAAATATGTAATTCTGTTAATTGTGGAATGCCTGTACACTTTGTTTGTACATCTTCCATGGAGATATCAGTGAATATGATTCTCCACCTGTGAATATTTTAAATGTTGAAATAAAAGTAAGAAATGTGGTCTTTGTGTTTTCCCAGTTTCACAAGGCTGAAGATGAATGGATTAGTTTTTGAATGTGTTTTACTAACAATAGAATACCTTTCTGTTATGAATGCTTGGAATCAATTTTTGAGTATAAAATCTTTTGAAGACCTTTGAGATGGGATGGGGTGGGTCCATATTTTTTTTCTCTACCTGATGCACATGGAAAAATGCAAATACCAAGATGTATAGTCTCCTTTTTTTCCTTGATTCTAAGTGCTTTGCAGTGAGAGGATTCCTTGATATACCTAACTATATAGTGGATTTTGGAGTATTTCAGACTTGTCATTTTTTTTATGAAGTATCTATTTCCTCTTGTTAATCAGTTTTTTTTTTTACTTATACATAGGGATTTTATTTAATTCGTTTATGAACTTACACAAAGATTGAAAGGATTCATGATTCTTATTTCTATTTCAACTGTAAATTGGTTTCAGTAAAATGTAGACTCAAATCTAGTCAGAAGAAAAGTACTTAAATTTTATATAGTATAAAAATCATGAACATTGAAAGAATTCTATGGAGGTAGTTAACTGTAACAGTCTATCCATGTCCTTCTGAATAAAAAAATCTTGTTACATAATTACATCMCCCCCCCCCCCCAAGCAATGCTTGATGAGTTTCTTACAGAGTTCAGATTTTGAGACTACTTTTATAGCCATTTTAGTCTTGGATTACTAGCAACTCCTTGATGTTAAGTGAAATACTCTTCTTTCCTTGTTTCACTCTTAGGCTCCTGATAGTTTAAATGGTTATCCTTCTGCTGGGTAATGTATTGTTAGACGATGATTTATACCACTAACTCTTCTGGGAAAAAAAGCAGTTAAGGTGAATTTCAACCAGTTGGATACTGTAACATTCATGGTTACAAAGGTATACAAAGTGCTTTCCCTACCATCCAAGCCCCGAACACAGCTAAATTGTGTGTGATTAACCTACATCTTGGAAAGTAATGTGGATGTGAAGTATCAAGTTGTTGCAAGAAGGTAAGAGAACTTCTGAATAGCCCTTCACTCAGGAATCCTGTTCAGATTTTGTCAATTGTCTTAGTATAAGCTTCCAACCTAGGGTCAGATATCTTGTTTGCTTATTTCATTAGTCTCAATTCAGTCTGGTAGTTCATTTTTTTTTCCTTTGACTTTTGCAATCTTGTCATTTCTGAAGGTTTGATGAAGTGAAGCCCATTACTGATACTGACAAAGGGGCCAGGGCAGAGGCTTGTTCAACGAGGAGTAAACAACTTGTTTGAGTAGTTTGGTTATGAAGGATCAAAATGGGACGGTGGTGCAGAGGATTCTAGAATCAAGGTTGGGGTGTGACAATACAGTGTGCAGCATCAAAGAGTTCACAGTTGCTTTCCTTCAGTACATATTTATATTGACCTTTGGTGTCAACTAAAATTTCAGTCATTTTCCACTTTAGTTTTTCTAGTGATTTTTTTTTTTTTTCCTAAATGTCACCTACACCATGAATACTTTTAATAACCAAGAATCAAAAATAATGCCTGGTTTTCAAGTTTGAAAAACAGGCCTTTATATTATTCATTGAAACGTAATTTCAGAAGCCCTATGGTTTTCTTTAGAATTCTTTCTTAAGGTCTTTTGATATCCAAACTTTCAAAAATGGATCTATTTTTAATCTATGACTCATTTTTTTTTCTTCTGAATATGGGGAAATGCTTCTTGCTTTCTATGGAGCCATTAATTGGTAAAGAAAGTTCTTAGAAACAATAAAGAACATTTTTGACATATTTAAGCCCTGTAACAAATTGATTTCTTGAATTTTTAAGTAGAACTGTTATTGGTGTATAAAGAGGTATTCAAAGTAATGTTGTCAGCAAGACACTTCCGTTAGAAACTGCTGAAGGGCTGATGCGTATAAAATAAACTTTAAAGTGCGCTGAAAACATGGTTTTGCAACCTTTCTAACTAGCAGTCTTTGGAGGTGGGTAAAACAGTAATTAGGATTCATTCCTGTAAGTATTGAAAAGGACTTGGGTTAGACTTTCTTAGGATTAAWTTTTTTTTTTTTTCAAAGGCAGAAGCTGGGCTGGGGTTGTGCTCAGAGGTGGAGCGTTTGCCTAGTATGCATGAGGCACTGGGTTCAATCCTCACCACCATATAAAAATAAAATATCTATAACTTAAAAAAAAAAAAAAAGGCCAAAGCTCTACTAAGTTTATGTAAAAATTCTCTTACTGCCAACTGACCTATGGGGAGAGCCTGGTGTATAATATATGTGGATTAATGGTCTCCACTTGTTGAGTGCCAGAGTGGAGAAATGTGGGCAGTAACAAGTATTAGACATTTATTTTCCCATTTACTTTTCATCCTGTGGGGAAGGTACTCTTACTTAGACACATTTTATAGGTGAGGAATAGGGATTTCCAGAGAATAGTTAATTTGGTCAAAGTAACACAATAAGTGACCGAGGCAGGATTTGAACTTCACTTCGGGCTAGCTCCAAAACGCGAGCCCATACTGTTGCCGTGTAATAGACTAGGATGGTGGCAAAATTTTTAGTTCATTGGTTTAACAATGGACTTTATTGTGTAATCCTTACCCTGATTTTTGTTGTCTGGCATCGAAAGCTAGGATTAGCATCTGACCCAGTTAATCTTGTTTGGTTTCTTATGACCTTTTCACAACATCTCCCTGCAGTAGCAGAAAAGGCAGTTGTCCACACTTGCATCCTCAGGTAGTATTGCCAGGTTCAGGTGAACACTTATTGAACCCGTTTATCAAGACT